GGGAGGTCCTCGCCCACTCACTCCACCCCACAAAACAATCAAAACCCGAGGTGTGCATAAGTCCCCAGGGCAGTAAGAGGACCAGAGACCTAAGACCCGCCTCCTAAGATTGATTTCATCACTCCGGGTCTGGACGGCTCTCCCCTTCACATCCAGGCACCAAGAAACAGCCCCCTCCCAGCCCTTATTGGTTTAATGAAGCGCCAAATGCTCTCACCCAGGACTCACACAGAGGTGGAGAGTACGGAAGACAACGGCCCCTGTAAAGCCAGTTTTGCCTCCAAGAGCCCATCAAGGGTTTAAGGGCTCACACCCCAGCCCAAAGAACCCAGGGCAGATGTCTCCTTCAGCTGGGGGAGGAGTCTGGGACTTGAGAAAAGGTCCCCTCCTCTTTGGGGGTGGGGAGCAAGCCCGGGGCCCCGCAGCTTCCTCTCCCTGCAGCACTCTCTGACCATAACCCCGTCGCGGCCCCAGCGCATGCCCACCCTAGCACAGCCCCCTCCTGCTGATTTCCCAGTCTCTCTTCTCTCATCGCCCCCAACCTTCCCCCGCAAGCTTCCGCTCCTCTCCGTCAGGCCCCCCATCTTTCCCGGCTCTCCTCCAGCACAGACCCCTCTCCGCCTCAAGCACCTTGGCACCTTCCCCTCTGCTCCCTCCCAATAACCTCCTCTCCTTGGCTCCCATCCCCCAGGAAAGCCTGGTCCTGGGTGGTTCCCCCAGTGTGAAGCCCTTGGCCTGGCCCCTGCTCCTCGCCTCTCCACTACTCTCCTTCCTCTCTCCTCCTTCCACGAAGCCCAGTTCCTCGCTGGTTTCTCCCCTGCAGACCCTTCAGAGCCAGACAGCTCCCAAGCCCCTCTGACTGAGCACTGCTTCCAGCCCTTGTGGCTAACACAGATTGGGGACCCCCCCCTCAAGAGAGCTTCCCTCACAGCCCTCCTCGCCCCATCCCTTCCCCCCTTCCATTCACCCCAGCTCAGGGCCAGTGCCCCTTCCACAGGAAGGCGCGGACCCCCAAGCCCTCAGCCGCTTAGCCTCCTCTGTCACCCAGCCAGCCCTCTCAGCGCG